ACAAAAAACAAAACAAAAAACAAAAAAACCCTGTAGTCAATGTTTATTCAACACCAATCAAGCTTTAAAAACTGGTATGAATGAACAACTACATTTTCCACACCATTTAAAAGAAACAACCAGCATTTATCAGTTGGTTCCATTTTGCATAATGGAATTATGACCCACTAATCTTATAGCCTGAATAATCTTTATCTACTTCAGTGAAGCTATCAATTCTAAGCAATTCTAGAAATCATATCTGAATCTTTATAAAATGCACATATATGTATGTGTGTGTGTGCATTCATTCTATCTACTATGAAAATTTCTACATACATATGAAAGTTACAAAGGCCACTTAATTGTTTAGCCTAGTAATATAGGCTGAAGAACCCACAAACTGAAAAGATGTGGGGTAATTCTTTTCTCTTGACATACTGTTTCTCACAAGTTGTCAAGAGAAGCTTAGCTTTACAAATCATTGTGGTATGGTTTCTATTTGGCATTAGGAATTCCAAAAAAACCAACCTATAAAATTAGTTACTAAACAAGAACCTCACCCACACATATGAAAAATATTATCCACAATTTTATTTATCATTATAATCTTGATGTGTTTCAAGTCATGTGGAATGAAAAATAATAATTTGATATATTCATAATAGACCATAGATTACATGCTAATATTAGCATCTCATTAGTTCTTTTCAAACACTTAAGTATTCTGTAATTGAATAAAGTATGTAGGGCTGGACACTTCTTTTGGCAAATGTGTATTATATGTTCACCAATTCATATTTCTCCAAATGTTATGGTGATGATGGGCATAAAAATTGTGCATGCTGAAAAAGAATTTATTTTTACAATCCTTGTAGAAGGAGATAATTTATTTGAATCTAAGCCAAATATCCAAACCAAATAGAATGGAAGTTAGCTCCTAACATTTATGCTGAGCCTAACAAAGTAAGTTTCCATGTAAACAAACCAACAAGCAAGTTTATTTGGTGTATCTACTGGTTCTACCACAATCAGAACGAATTAGACTAATTATATAAAATAAGACCAATATATAGTAGTATGTTTAATTGTTTTTCTAGGCTTCTGAAAGTTCTCCCTCAAGATAATTAATCTAAGGGTTTGTATATTTTGTTTTTGTCCCTGGGGAGGCCTGAGAGACCCCAGGAAGAATAAAGCAGCCACATGACCAGATTTTAAGACAGGTTAACAGCAAATTCTCACAGGTCCAAGAAGCTTGAATTTAGCCTGGTTTTAGGACAGAATTAGACCTGGTTGCCCCAACAAATGACCTGTAGACTAGAAACAGGAGGACTGCAACTTTGTTGATTGTGCTTAATCTCTCAGCAGCTTTAGACAGCACTGACCAAAGTTTGCTCCTCCATTTCTGTGTGAGTTTGAAACTGGGGGCAATACAATACTGTGATTCCACTCCTATCACAGGAATACTTTCAGAGACCAATACTGGGGAACTCTGCCTCTGCACACTGGTGTTGTGTGATGTCACAAGGGCTATTTTTTCTCCAATACTATTTAATATGTATATAAATCTGCTGGTAGAGTGGAGAGGATCACCAAGAGGCAAAGTATCAACATCCTGATAATTCTAAGCTCTACTTTTCCATAATATCTGAATCAGCAAATATTCTGAACCAATCTCACTGTACTAATGGGTTCACTGAGAACCAATACATTCAGGCTGAATTCTGATAAGACAAAGACCATGTGGGTGGGTGGTTCCTAGTCACAAAAATTGGGGGAGTGTTCTAGATTAGAATATACTCTCTCTGAAGAACAAGTATATTGTTTGGGAATGCCTCTAAAGTCATCTTTTCATTGGGGGTTGAAAAGTTTTCTATCATCTTAAGTATCTATAATAATTATACTAGCTACAGTATGTCCATTCTTAAACAGACATAGCCTAATATTATTGTTCATGCACTGATAAACTCAGGTTTAAATTACTGTAATGCACTTTAGGCAAAGATACCTCTGCTTGTTCTTTTTGCATATAAGACTCTAAACAACTTGAGTTCAGAATTCCTGGCAGGGTGCCTTCTGTGATACAGACATGCACTAAGGTCATGAAATGAAGTCTTGTTGCTTCTGTCACAACTATCAGATTATCATTTTATGATTATACAGATGATCAGATTTCTTCACAGTCATATCCACTCCATTCCAGCCACTTATGGAATGCTTTCTTAATAATTACAGGCATAGCTTGGAGATATTGCAGGTTCAGTTCCAGACCACTGTAATAAAGCGAATATCGCAATAAAGCGAGTCACACAAATTTTTTGGTTTCCCAGTGCATAGAAGTTATATTTACACTATTCTGGAGACTATTAAGTGTGCAATAGCATTATGTCTAAAAATACAATGCATATACCTTAATTAAAAAATACTTTATTGCTAAAAAATGCTAATCTGTTGGGAAAATGGCGCTGATAAACTTGCTTGATGCTGGGTTGCCACAAACCTTCAATTTGTAAAAAAAAAACAAAACGCAGTATCCATGAAGCGCAATAAAGCAAAGCACAATAAAATGAGGTATGCCTGTATACTAATGACCAGCACAGATCTAGCTATCACAAACCAGTACTTGGACAATGCTATCTACTAGAGGCTTTTTGTGATACCTTATTCAGCAATTCTTATACAGATAATCTCTACAACTCTGTCCTGGCAACTGAAATATTAATAATGATGTCAATATTTCAACAGATAATTTTATATAGTAAATTTTTACATTAGGTAATAATGCATTTCAGTTATAATCTTTAAAAAATAACAGAATTATTCACATTGACTTCATTCATTTGTAAAAATGTGGAAGTACTGAATATGTATGTATATACAAAAAACCATTTTCTGATCAACAATACTTTTCCTTATTTTTGTTTCAGTTAAATACGAATCAGATCTCAAATTTTCTTTATATTTTTTGCTACAAAAGCAACATAATATACAAAGAAACTAAGACTTGCTCTTTTGTCAAAGCTGAATTTGAATGGAGATCCCTTTCCTTAGACAACAGTGAAAATTTCCCAAATAAAAGGCAAGATCTGCACTTACTCTTGGCTGTGAAGTGCTCTTAAATTAAATCAGTTTGAAGTGGTTTTCATTAAGATGGATTGAGTGTGGCATCGTGAGAAACACTTTATCAAATGCAGTGTTTTACTTAGTGATTAACTATATACCAGTTGATGAAGCTCCCCAAATCCTTCATAATCCCACCACTCCAATAAACATTTAATGAGCATATAAGTTCAAAAAGCCCAGCAGAGGATTTAAACTTTCAATCTTGTTTTTATTTACTCTTCCAACTCAATTTCTCACTTCAAGTTAAGAATGCTATTGCTTGAAGCTCATCTGTTGCCCTGGTAAAATTAAGTGCCCTGCACATCATGACAAAACATATGGGTTCAGATTTCTGTTCTTGCAGAGGAGATAGATAGATAGATAGATAGATAGATAGATAGATAGATAGATAGATAATTTTAAAAAAAGTTGCTAATTTCAAAAATATTCCTAAAGAAACATCTTCAGAAAAACTGCAAATATAAAGAACAATGAATGGTAATAATAATTTAAACTTGTGATACAGCTATTTACTTTTTACTCTGTATTTAGTCATATTAATGTACAGGATAATACACAGAAAACACACAAGGAATTAAATATTCTCAAATACTTAATCCTTTTGGGAACAAAAGTGTACAATTTTTACTGAAGTTTCAAAATATTTCAAAATGAATATATGCTGATAGAATACATGCAAATGATCAAGGCTGACATTTGTGTAATATCACATTAGGTTTAAATATTTAGATTTGATTTTATATAGTAAATATTTTCCCCTTGGATCTTAATTGTGGAACCCTCATCATGCTTGTTAGATATTAACTCCACTAAACACTGAGAAGTTATTTCCAAGTAAACATAAAAAAAGGATACTGTTTGATAGTGATTATCCTTACATTAAACATGCAAGTTATAGTTTATATGCAAATAGGGCTATTAATGGGATCATGGATATTACATCTTTTCATTTATTATATGTTAGCTATTTCTTGTGTATGATGGCCAGTTTGGTGCAGTGGTTAAAGCATCAGGCTAGAAACCAGGAGACCGTGAGTTCTGGTCCTGCCTTAGGCGCAAAGCCAGCTGGGTGACCTTGGGACAGTCACTCTCTCTCAGCCCTAGGAAGGAGGCAATGGCAAACCACATCTGAAAAATGTTGCCAAGAAAACTGCAGGAACTTGTCCAGGCAGTTGCCAGGAGTTAAAAACTGACTTGGAGGCACCAAATTGTATTTATTTATTCATGTGTTTGTTTATTTCCTTGTGCACATCAAGTTTCATCAAATATATAATTAAACCATTTCAAATTGCCTGAGACAGGAATATTTTACTATGTAATATGCAACAACTTTGAACTTTCTTCTGTGGTGACACTGAAACTGTCAGAATATTTATTTATTATGCAGAAAAATCCATAACCTTCAATTCACTTTTAATTGCTGTCTCAGAAAAGATACCACATAGTACGCTTTTATAAGCAACTATCTGGGAACACAAAACTGTTCTGCCTGCTACCTAATACTAAAAGGTTTTATTACTAGTATTCCTCCACTGAATGAAGACTCCTTAATCCAGCAAAAATCAGACATTTTTCAGCAAATTAGCTTTCACTTCTGCAGTCCTTTGCACTATTTACCAGACTGTTTCAAGATTTGGGAAGGACATGGAATGGGGTGCAGAAGAGAGTGAATTGGCCAAAAATTAGTACTTTCCATTTCAGGGGCAGAAGCCACAACTAGATCAAAATGCTTTTTGTTACTTGGAGAACACTAGTCCATAACCCAGTTTTCAGAAGAGACCTAGCAGCAGCAGTAGTGTAAACCTGCAACAGTCCATTAATGTGCCAAAAGTTTAGAAGACATTTTTATACTGGGTTCCTCTGTCATTTGAGTAATATAGTATTTAAAATGTACTTACATCTCTAGCTTTCCCATAGAAGGCCTCTTGAAAGGCAGCCTCTAAAGATCCAATAAAAAATACCGGATGGCAGTCACCATATCTGTTTCAGCCCAAAATGTTTCAATTAATAAATATTGTTTTTTATAACAAAGGAGACAATAGTACTTTTCCCCCCCAAAATCACACACCCAAGAACAAACTATTGTATCAACACCATAACAATAATTATATATCTAAATATCTGCATATATACATATACATTCAATTAAAATAATTCTTTTTAATTTCAAAGTAAATAACATTGTGAAATTGAGTGCTGGAAATGGAGGACAAGGACTTTTGTTCTGTAACATCATACAAAAGACAGACATTTTTAGAAATCTGAAATTGGCATGGCTCCATTTAGGCATTCTTTTAATTCTGCAATTAATGTAAGCCTTCATGTTAAAGAATAGAATGATAAATTCTTCCTTATTTGTGTAATTCTCTTCTTAAAGATAGTGGCGAATTAACAAGAATAACATTTAATGGAAAACGCAGTTTATTTATTTTAAATTACTTAATTTATAGAACATACAGTAAATGACCAGGGGATTAAAAAAACAATTAAAAGAAAATAAAATACAATGGACATATAATACAGGTAGAGACAAAAAGAAAATAAAAGTTAAAAAAAAAGAGATAAAACTAGAGAATAACAGAGAACTGGTAACAAAATATCAACAGCATCAAGGCAAAACCAGTCTTGTCCTTCTGATTGAGATAGTAGCCGATAAGAATTTAGACATTCTGTACAAATGGGTTCTGATCCTGCAGGAGGCGTATAGCCTCTCCCTCAGAGTAGAACTGAGTTCTATTAATGATGGGTGTTAAAAGGGTAGAGCATACAGTGTCACAGAAGAGACAGTGAGAGAAAATGTGGGCCCAGCTTACTCAAATGACAAGGATAGGTTCTGTCTACAAAATTGATTTTCTGGTACCTACCCTCCAATATTGGTGTGGGGAAGATGTTGAAATGGGCCAGGCAGAAAGCCCTGTGAGATGTAGCAAAGGTGAGACTGAATAGATACTCAGCAGGAACAAATGAGTTCTAGTCTAGAACCCACCTGTGAGAGTCACCAATAACCCCTAGATCCAACTGTCATGCTGCATCATAAACTCACTGGCAGATGTCTGCTGTGACTTTCTCTAAACCCAAAGACCTAAATCTAAAGAGAAACCACAGAAATGTAAGTTGGCAAAAATTTTCTCTTCTTTTGTGAAGGGAAGTTGTCAGAGAGCATTAAGAAAGCCAGTGAACATTTGGTGAAGCAAAAGTTTAACCAGTAAGAGAGGTGACAAATGCAGGCTCTTTCCTCAAGGAGAACCATTGTTGATTCCACACAGATCAGAGCATTTGAGGCACAACACCAGACCTGAAATAGAGTGCACAAAAACTTGGACTGAACAGTTTCTGGGGGTCTAAAGATGTTACAGATGAATACTTATACACTATTAAGCATCTGTGAAACAGATTTAGATTTAAACAGTTTTATGGCAGCAAGGATGCACCTTCCACCCTGGAGCCCAATATTGCCTTGGCGCTGTTATTAGCTTTGTCAGAGATAGCTTAATTTGTTCCTGCCAGGTTCCAGAGGCCTGGAATACAATGGCCAAATATTTAAAGGCAGAACTTACTCAGTGTGAGTGTTATCAATGCAACAATAGTGTTTTCAGCACCTAACTCCCTCTGAGAGAACCATAATTTTAGTTTTAGAGTAGTTAATTGTGAGCTTTTCCTCCCCGCAAAAATCTGCCAAGGCCCAGAGACTTCTAAGGCTGACCTAAGCAGGTGAAAGGACTGGTGTATCATCTGTATAAAGCAGCACCACAAAATGTCTGTCTTTGAGTTTGGGTGTATGTGTGAAATCTCTTTTGGTTAAGGCTGCTATGATAGAATTCAAATAGATAGTAAACTGAAGTGGGGCCAAGACACAGCCCTGTTTCATCTCTTTGCTTATTGGGATATCTGCAGAAAGGTGCCCAGCATGGTCATATCTAACCTGGGTGATGGTATTTTCATGTAGCATCTTGATTAGATAGAGAAGCCACTGATCTATAGAGGTACATGATAGCTTCTACAAGAGCATGTCACATGGAATGGAGTCAAAAGCCGACTTTAAGTCAGTGAAGGCAACATAAAGGGGATGATGTTGCTTACATGTATATTTGTCAATTAGTACAATGTAACATGGCACAGTGGATCTACCCTCCCTGAAGCCTGCATATTCATCAAATAGCATCTCTTCTTGTTCCACCCATTCCAGGAGTCTATTGTATAAGAAGCAAGCATAGATTTTACTAGAAATGCTTGGAAGGCTAACTGGAAGGTAGTCTGAAGGATTAGAACTGTTTCCATTTTAGGGAATAGGAACAATAATACAGCATCTCCAGCTACTCAGCATATGGAAGGTAATATTAATATGGGTAAAAAGGGAGGCCGGGATGGGGGCCCACCACTCAGCATTTGTCTTCAGTGAGACTGAGTCACTGCCAAGTGCTTTTCTATATTTTAAGTTGGTTAGTTACCTTAGCAATTTCCGAATGGGAGACTGGAGGCCACGGGGATATGGTGTGGTGATTAACCAATAGGGACTGTGCAATAGAGAGACGGGGATTATATGGGGACTAAAAAGCTCTTCCCGTATGTGGCAGAAAGCCTCTGAGCAGTGCTTTCTTCTATGAGATGAACAAGTCTTCAGAAGAAGAAAGAATGTTTGTCCTTAGTAGCCAGAAATAGTCAGTCCCAACTAGCTTGAATAAAGGCCTGCTTTTCCTCTTAATTAAATTTTTATAACTCCTCTTCTGAGATATTAGAAGATTCCTAATAAGGAGGCAGTTGCTTGCCCTGAATGACTTAACACTGGAAACTAAATCTGCTCTCACTAACAAGCAGTCCAAATCAAACCAGGATTTATGGGGAAAATGGGGGCTGTTGAAATTTCTCCAGTTAAGGAGTGGATGTTATCTACAAGATCATTAAATGCTTCTAGGGCCTCTGCTGGATTTGGGCAAAGAAGCATGTAGTTCTGGAGTCTGAAAACTGGGGCAAAGGTTAGTAAAAGGTGAAATGCCTATACCAACTTTTCACTCCATCTAACTATGGAGATACTTTTAGCTTCTCAAAGGCAAGCTCTCCTGATAGGCTATTTAGACATAGTGGACAAAAGCAAGCTCCAGATGGAGGAGAAGTGGAAGTGGTCACATGGTTATGTCCTGGGAAACTGGAGAGTGGGAGCCAACCAGATAAACTGGATAAACCATTGGTAAGGTAGGCAAGAAGTTGGAGTGGCCACTGTTGTCTTATTGAAGAGGAGAGGGGATAGAAGATCTCACATCTGTAGATGACAAGAGTACATTTGAGTAGAAGGAACATTAAGACAATGAGGCAGATGATTTATATTTCCAAGAGGATCTTTAATAAGGTTTACTTGGGGCATTAGCATGGACTCAATAGTTGGCTCCTCTCATCAGGCAGTATTGCCATGAATAGGCATCTGGGGAGGACTATGCTTCTATGGCTGATATCTGTCAGTGGTTTTGCTGAGGGACACTGACAACAGCTTTGGTGTGCTCAATGTGCTGGTCAGGAGAGTAAGGGAAGCAAGGTCTGTTGACCGCAGGTGAGCTTCAGGTAGATATGTAAGTAGCCTATAAGTATAGTCATACTTTAGAAGCCTCCTTTTAGTGTTAAGAGGGCTGCAAGAGGTTGTATTGATTCATGTATCAAAGTCATTGACAGGCCTTCTAACTTAGAGAGTATTTTCAACTATTTGTCCTTAGCTATAGTACTGAAGGAGTTAATCAGCTCATGTTTAAAAATATCAGGCATAGATTCATTGAGGCTGGTGGAATGTTCAACTATATTCCCTACTGTCAAGACTGAAGATAAGATGAAGAGCTCTTGGCAATCAACCAGGTCAGGCTCTAAGTTGCTGTATGGGTATGCACTTTCAGCATTAGGAAAAGAGGTTTCTGTTGAGATCCCTAAAATCTTGGGAAAGAAAAATACCAAAACCTGACAGAAAAGTTCTCACTCATGAAGCAAGGAAGGGATCAATGGAGTGCTGAAAAAAAGGTGAACTGTTTTCTGACCAGGATGGCCTGGAAACCAGGTAACTTGTACTAAGTCTATTAATTGTAACTGGCAGTAAAGGAGTTGTCTTAGGGAGTAGCAAAGAGTGCCCTTGAAAGCCATCCTGTGACATTACTATTAGCTAGGACTGTTAAAACTAACTGTATGTTTTGGTAAACAGGAGAGTCCTCTTTTATAGAGGAGACATCAGGGTAATCATCTTTTTGAGATTGCCCCTCAAAAAGTAAAATATACAACCTGGTGGCTTGACTAGGGGGGCAGGAAGGCTCTCTCTCTGATAGTGAGCTAATGTAGTTCTTTAGCATTTCCCTCAAGTCCTCAATTTTAGCACGGATAGCTGCCAGTTGGTCAAACAAGGCTATCATACCTGAGCTGTTAAAATAAAGCATTTTGCCAAAATATCTGCACTCAGTTGACTGCATGTTATTCAGAAAATGCACATTATAAAAGCTCCTAGGGCAAAGGAGGACATTTCAAACTGGCAAAGTAAAAACAGTTTTTTAATGTAGTTCATTGAAAAGAATTTTTTTAATGTTACTCAGACAAGATTTCCAAATACTCACATATCTGTTCTGCCCCTTTGCTAAACACATGAAGTTAATCTGAATAATAGATCTTCAACATTAAATCTTCAAAACCAAGATAACAAAACTCTGAAACAATTAACTGAATGGAGTCACATTACTTAAATACATTTCCAAATGATCTCTCTCTCTCTCTCTCTCTCTCTCTCTCTCTCTCTCTCTCTTACATCCAGTCAGCCCATTGCAACCATGCTTTATTTATTTATTTGACTGGATTTAGAGGCTGCCCAACTTCCAACAACCCTGGGCAGCTTGTATTTCTAACAGTAGGAAACAATAAAAGGAAAGGGAAAAAAACACTTAAGTATTGATAAGCCCACTAGAAAATTCTTTTTCACTTGGACATGCTGGAAAGAGTAAAATACAAGTAGAACTTCAAAGAACATTACCACCATGAAAAAATCATGAAATAGATTGTTGCCCAATTCCAGTTTGAAAACCAGCTCTCAATGTTTGAAAGTCCATTATTATTTCTATGCTGAGTACAGAAGGCTGAGAAGCAGAATGCGCAAAGAGCTGGCATGTGGTTTCAGATTTTATTCCCATGCCGAAGTGTGTGGCTGGGAAGCCAAAAGAAAGATAGATGGGAGGCTCAATTGTCAGACGTTCAGTACGAAGAAAATCAACAATATTTTAGATTTGCAAATCGGTTTCTCTCAGAAAGGCACTGGAACTTTCAGGTCTTCACCTGATATTTTGTTACCTTATAAAAACAGATTTTGCATGAAATTTAAACACAGTAAATACATATATAGATTGTACTTAGTTACAAGTCTAACCTTGAAGAAAATTCTGCTGTGAATTGTAATAAAGCATCTCCTTCATTTTCAGCATTTTCCGGCACTGCAAAAGAAAGGAAAATATTGCAGGTAAATATTAACATGCAGGTTTAAAACATTCTCTTTGCCATTTAACTAAATTTTATGTGAGCTCTATTTACATAACATTGTTTAATGAAGAGAAGATGGTCTTTTGGAACTATTCTTTGAAGATGGAGATGGATGGATGGATGGATACAATGTCAATATTATAATGTGAAAATTCTAAGCAATTTATAAGTGGTATAAGTTGATACAATAACTAGTTCCCTGTAAGCTACTGAATCCAATTTAAGGTGCTAGCATTAACCTATAAAACAGAAAATGACTTACTAAACAGATTGCCTCTTTCAGTATGATCCAAAATGCACATTAAGATCAGTTGGGAAGGTCCTGCCTGGGGTGGCTTCAGCTTATAGTGCAGTGGCCATGAATTGAGCCTTCTCTGTGACAGTACCCCAATTATGGTACTTTCTCCAATAATAATCAACTGTTTTCTTTCAGAAATCAACTGAAAATATGGCTATTCACAGACATGGCCCTAAGATTATCCATGTCTTTTAAGTTCTCCCTCCCCCACCTATTTTCTTTCCTGCCTTTAGCCATCTTGCCTGAGGAAAACTTATCAAAAACTTAAAACCTGCACTATTATTATTTTCTCAGCTGTTATATATGTTATTTATAATTTTGTTATACTGTTTTTATCTTGTTCTAAGTATTTTTAGCCACCTAACATCATGTATTTGGAATGGGAAGCCATATAAATTGAATGAAGGAATAAATGAATATTATGTAAAACTTTAGTAGACCTAATATATGTATTCTCTCTATTTTTAATACTATACTATAATAATATATTCAGTAAAAACTATGTGTTATAATGAGAAGATCAGCAGAACACAGGAGCTACTGAAATTATTGTTGCATGGTACAAACACAGTATTTATCTTAGAACAGTAGAACTTAAAGGACAAAAAGTAAAAATAAGGAGTAACATTCAGTAACACTAAGGAGACTGTTTGTGACTTAAGATGACTTAAGGCATGCCCCACTAAACTTGTATTCTCACCATCTCCTAAATTTGTACACATAATAAACGGTAGGGGATTGAATCTGCCAGACCTATAATATAATCATCTGTAGGGGAAAGAACTTACGCAGATACAATTGCATATATACAGAACTGCATATATGAATAGATGTACATTCATCCTTGCTTTCCATTTCCTAATGCATAATAATCAAGACATATAGTGTCAGCCTTACCAGGTAGACCAGACAGGAAACATGACCAGATAAGCTAATTCTACTTTACTGTAAAGTTACATTACATATAGTGTCAGCCTTACCAGGTAGACCAGACAGGAAACATGACCAGATAAGCTAATTCTACTTTACTGTAAAGTTACATTACATATAGTGTCAGCCTTACCAGGTAGACCAGACAGGAAACATGACCAGATAAGCTAATTCTACTTTACTGTAAAGTTACATTAACGGAATCTTGCAAGTCTGAAAGTACAATTCTCTCGCAGTCTCCTTTATAGCCTGAGAAATTAGGGAGGGTCCCTTCTGAGCTTCTTGCCCTGCCTACTATCCAGCTATGGGCTATGCTGTCTCTTATCTGACCATTCCCTAGGCAGCATCTCTTCGCTCCCAAGGTTTTTTCCAAATACCATTATGTATAAGTGGCAGACACAGAGAGGTCAGGGCAGAGATAGTGGACATGATTCTGTTTCCCATACAGACATTGCAGGATAAGATGAAAACAGGATGCAACTACACCATAAAGGTGAGAATGAAAGACTTTACACCTCAAATACATGACTGAGCAAATCTTTGCATGAAACTGAGGGACTACTGACCATTTCATTAAATTGATAACCAATTGAATAAATTGATTATCTCTGAATAAAAATAATGGTACTAAAGTAAAGATTTTTTTCCAGTTTTTAGATAATGAATGCAAATCTCATTTCAGGCATCCTCTTAGAAAACGCATTCTTTTCTATGTGTGAGAAAAATGGAAATCCTGTCTATGTCTTATGTACCTACAATGGAAATGAATTTGTATTGGTAATGAATATCATGTATTGGTAATAATACTGGTATAATAACAACAACAACATATTTGTACTGGTAATATACAGTACTTTACCATTATCTACAATGGTAATGAAAACATGACATCCAATTAATAGGGTAATTTTTCAAGTCAACCAAAAGACTTTTCCAAAACGACTATCTAATAAATTAGCAGATTAAAAATTTCAAACACATACAGATAAATTTGTTCAACAAAAATGCACGTTTATCTGATTTAATATCCCCAATATGTAAATAGCAAAACATCCAAAACTGTGCCATTACTTATATCACAATAAAATTAACATAACAATGGAATAATGTTTATTAATATCAGATTTTAACTAACTTTTGTTATTAATGAGAGTTAATATTTCCTGAAAACCACAATCCACATTTACTGGTTATTTGCCTAGAACACATTTATACAACTTGCAATTTCATTTCCCCCTTTTTTTTAAGTTAATTTCATATAAGAAACAGATAGTATTCTATTATATCCCTAAAAGAAAGGTACACTGTAGTCTCAAAAAGCCACACTTAGAAAATCATCAAACAATGGAAAAAACTGTTTTCTCTCCCCACCCCCTTTTTGTCCAAAGCTGAGCTTACACTATTCACAACACATAGGACTGCATTACTTACTCATTGGAGATTTTCTCAATGCAGATGCTGCCATACCAAACATCTCTCCATCATCCACTCCAAATTCTGTAGCATCCTCAAAGTCATCTCCATCACTGTCACTAACCATATGTACATCTGTGCATTGCTAGTTTAATAAAATTGACAATAAATAAATTACTGAACAAATACATATTTCAACAGTAACTTTCTATATTCAAATATGAAAGTCACCAAATTTTCATCCAAAATCTTCGAAATAAATTTTCGTTTTAGATTACGTATCTTGGTTTTAGATTACGTATCTTCTAGGAAGAAGTGTAACATCTACTTCATGAAAATTGGTGGGGAAAGAATGTAAGGAATTCTACAATTTAATTGCTTGTGGAGTGAATGCCTTCCTAAAAAAGGTCTTGACCCATCAGTGGAACTGCAATGACATGTGCCAATTTCGCTTTTCAAGGCAAGGAGTTCCACAGCTCAGTGGAAAGGTCCCACCATGGCAAGGAAATAGAAAAGATCCTCTTTGCTGTATCTTAGGGAGAGGACAGGCCAATACAGGAAGAGAAGATCCTTAAAGGATGTTGTTTAATAGTAGGCCTTTAGGATTTTAAAGATCATAATCAATACTCTCAGTTGGGCTCAGCAACAAACTGGTACCAATTATCACTTCCAAGGCCAATGCATCCAGAGAGAGAGAGAATTTTAGCATTTTTTAATTTAAAGTATTAAAGAAATATTATTACGCTAATGTCTTATCCTTCTGTTTAATCCTATCACCTTCTTTATCAAATAACATGGCCAAACAGCAGACATTATGCCGTACGATCAAGGGTAGGGCAGAAATTAGGTATATAATTTCAACAAAACTTTAATAAAAGTGTATGCACCAATTGTGTGAGGAGAAGGGGTGGTCTTACCTCTTCTGATTGTTCTCTAGTTTGTGCTGGTGAAGACCTTCTTCCAACTGTAAGTCGGTGGCAAGGATAAGAGATTCCTGAGGCTGCTAAAGTAATCTAAACAGAAGACATGTATTACTGAATTATCTATTAGATTTTGTTAAGTGTCCAAAATCAGACTGCAGTAGACATGAAACACATGAAATAAAGCAGAATGGGAAATTAAACACCATTTAACAAGACATTTGTTTTTAAAAAAGAGCATTTTCAATTCTCTCTTTTTCATTGAGAGACCACATGAATCCATTATGAGAAGAAAAATATTCAGAGAAAGGTAGGGTGTTACGTACAATGGGACAGGATAAAGGTACAGATACTGAGTAGAATCAGTGGTACAGATATTGAATAGAATCAATGGTAGTGTTTTGAAGTTCTTATCGGGGCAAGATATCGAGACACTTCAGAAACTTGAATAATATGGTGTAATTTGCAAATGTGTAGTCATTGTAAAACATTGCTTGCAATTGAATAAATTGATTATCTCTGAATAAAAATAATGGTACTAAAGTAAAGATTTTTTCCAGTTTTTAGATAATGAATGCAAATCTCATTTCAGGCATCCTCTTAGAAAACGCATTCTTTTCTATGTGTGAGAAAAATGGAAATCCTGCCTATGTCTTATGTACCTACAATGGAAATGAATTCGTACTGGTAATGAATACCATGTATTGGTAATAATACTGGTATAATAACAGTAGTTGTTATAGTCTACTCTCTCCTACCCTGTGTGTAGTAAAAATATCATATATAAAAAGGACTGAAGTGTAGTTTTGTTCATGGTTTCTACTGATGAATATGGACTGGCCTCAGAAGGTAGAGATGGAAGCTGAACCTAGTCAGTTTGACGTTTAGCTGGGTCAGAATTAACTGAAATAATTTATGAAAAAAATATCATAACCTCCAATTATGTTCAGGTTAACTTTGGTAGAAAAACACTTCTTGGTTGCATTATTTCTATTTCTTTTCCTACTCAAATGGATATATAGTCTTCTTGATTAAGATATCTCGCCAGTCATGTTAAGTATGGATATACAGCCTTCTTGGTTAATAAGCTGCTATGCAGTCAAGTTCCTCCAGGTAAAAAGGCACATATTATTGAAAATGAAAACACCAAAAATGAGCTGTACTATGTCATAAACAGTTTATTACAGTAACCATTTTAAAATAGACTAATTTTTGTGTTTAAAACATGAAAAATGTTCTACCTTCCATGTCACTAGTGTCTAATCCAAAGCCTAGCAAGTACTTCGGGAAATACTCTATTTTTATCCCCAAGTCAGGGTGTTTTTAATCACTTATGTGCTAGAACTCATAAAAGCCTTAATTTGCTTCAGGTTAAAGGAAGCTGATTAAGTGTGCTAGCTAACCAAGTGAGTGTTGACCTGCCTGGACTAGCCTGTTGCCACATTTTTGTAGCAAGGTTAAATAACAATTTAGTCACAATTTTAAAATCACAGAGTTAAAAGGAAATGACTACTTTTGAATAAATGAAATGTTAACGTAGACATTTATGTCAAGCTCAATTATCAGTGAAACTCTTTCATACATAACACAGAATCTACACTCGCCTTTGCAATGGTGGCACTGCTATTTTTCATTATGTTTTGTTCAGTACGTTATTGGGGTCTAGTATAGAAAAACAAATTCCTCATGTGAGATTTTGCCTATGTATCTAAATATATCTAAACTCTAAGGAGCATATTGAAAGTGACCAATGTGAACACATTTAAGTACACTTGTCTTTGTAATTAAGTAATTAGAGCCAAAATCTCACAATGAATAGCTTCTAATTTTCACTGGCTTTATCCAGATTTAGGAATGCTCAGTAGAATGGCGCTTAAATGACTAAGTATTATTAAACTGAGATCTACTCTATCTTTAAAAAGAGCATTTAAGAAAAGACAGACAAGTGAACATGGTGCTTGGTCATTTGATGCTCCTTTGTTGCATAAGGTCAACACATTTTAACCTAAAAAAGAGAACATTCTTTTCTCTTTTTTATTCATCTTACAAAATATTGAATTGAGAAGGGGGATGAGCATGAATCTTCCCTATATGGTCAAATGTGGACTTCAGCTATCAGAATTTCCCAATTAATATAGTAATCGATCATTTTGAGATTTAAAGTTTATACAATTGGAGCGGGAAGGTCATCATAGGCATTTAAGATTGGAGATTGTTAGATACCAGGTAGAGTAATTGTGCTTTTATACCCATGTGTTTGAAATATTAACACTTATTTCAATTTTATACTTTTTTAACATGTTAATCTATTAATGCATTTAATAGTTATTATTGCCACTGCTAAAACATCTATTGTTAAAAAAATGACAACATTCCCAGCAAAATCTGGGTAATACACTATGTACCAAAAGGAAGAGAACCACCCCCCAATCACATCCCAATAAAAGAAAAACTAGATATAAACAAAAATCCTTCATACTGCCTAGATTCACCAACTAGTTGACTAAGTTGTCAACTGCCACTAAAATCAATCCTGGAGATTTTTTTACCCCTACAAATATTTACATTTAACCCACTTTTGTATATACAGTGGTACCTCAGGTTACAAACTTAATTCGTTCCGTGACTCTGGTCGCAACCCAAATTGGTCGCAACCCGAAGGAAATTTTCCCATAAGGTTCAATGTAAATACAGTTAATCCGTTCTGACCCCTCCGAATTTGGTCGCCAACCGATTCTGGTCGCAACCCGAAGCAAATTTTCCCATAAGGTTCAATGTAAATACAGTTAATCCGTTCTGACCCCTCCGAATTTGGTCGCCAACCGATTCTGGTCGCAACCCGAAGCAAATTTTCCCATAAGGTTCAATGTAAATACAGTTAATCCGTTCTGACCCCTCCGAATTTGGTCGCCAACCGATTCTGGTCGCAACCCGAAGCAAATTTTCCCATAAGGTTAAATGTAAATACGGTTAATCCGTTCTGAAACATATGTATTTTATTTTTAAACCACAAAACCA